TTTGACATATTGTGTAAGAAATCACCAGATTTTCAAAGTTTGAAAACTTTTGGCTGTCTAGCTTATGCAGCTAACATAGATCCTTAGAAGACCAAATTTGACAAAAGGGGTCTGAAATGTGTGTTCCTTGGTTATGTCAATGGTAAGAAGGGTTTTCAGCTTTTTGATTTGGAGTCTCAAGCTCTGTTAGTTTCTAGAGATGTCATTTTCCTTGAAGATATATTTCCTTATGCAACTATGAGCCTAGATACCAACTCTGAAGTGCCCTTACCAATTGTAGATGATCTTACTGACCAGCCTGTGCCTACCCTAAATGATTTCTCACCTACTTCACCTACTGAAGCACCACATCCAACCACCCTCAAAAGGAGTGCCAGGGACAGAAATCCACCCACATGGCAAGGTGATTATGTTTGCAATCAAGTTCAGTTGGATACTACAGCTTCTATACATCCATACTTGACCTTCATGGCTAATGTCACTACTCAAAAAGAACCTTCTCACTATTTACAAGCATGCAAAGATCTAGCTTGGGTTGATGCGATGCAAAGGGAGTTAGATGCCCTTGAAGACAATTGTACTTAGGAGTTGACCACTTTACCAGAGGGTAAGAAGCCCATAGGTTCTAAGTGGGTTTATCAAATCAAAAGGAACAGTGATGGCACTGTTGAGAGATATAAGGCAAGGTTGGTGGCCAAGGGGTATAACCAGGTAGCTGGGGTGGACTATTATGAGATTTTTTTATGTGTGGCACGGTTGGTTACTGTCAGAGTCTTTATTGCCATAGCTACATTGCATGAGTGGCCTCTACACCAACTTGATGTCAACAATGCTTTCCTCCATGGCTACATCACTGAGGATGTATTCATGACTCCACCACAGGGTTACCTTAAAGCCAAAAAGGGTCAAGTTTGTAAGTTGGTTAGAAGCCTCTATGGTCTTAAACAAGCTTCTAGGGAATGGAATATTGAACTTTGCAAGAAACTTTCACAGTTTGGTCTGGTTCAATCAACTTACGATCATTGTCTCTTCACTCTTACCAAGGCTGATCATTTCTTAGCTATACTTGTCTATGTGGATGATATTTTAGTTACTGGCTCAAATGAGGACCTTATTTGTCAACTGAAGGCTTACCTGGATTGTGCTTTCACTATCAAGGATTTAGGGCAGGCAAAGTTTTTTCTTGGTGTTGAGATTAAGAGAGATCACACAGGGACCTTCATTGGGCAAAAGAAGTATATTTTAGACATGTTGCAGGATATGAATATGTTGACTTGCAAAGATGCTGCCACTCCTTTACCACATGGCCTACATTTGCAGAGTAAGGATGGAACTCTTCTTCCCAATCCCGATCAATATAGGCGGCTTATTGGCAGACTACTTTACTTAGGCTTGACTAGACCAGATGTCGCTTATTGATATTCATCATATTTCCATGCATTATGAGTGATATATAGTGATATTTGGCCATGATTATCATGTGATTGTGCACCATTTCGTTTTATTTATTAAACTATGATAGAGGTGTTTTTGTCATTGTTTTTGCAGGAAATATGCCCGAAAATGCGTTGGAGATGGAATCGGGACGAAAAACGGCGAAAACGGAGAAGAGGTCACACGACTCGTGTGGATAGTGACACGGGTCGTGTGGGTTGAAGAAATAAGAACTGCAGCTACGGCATTTCCACACGAGTCGTGTGGGTTAAGACACGAGTCGTGTGGCTTCACACGACTCGTGTGACCCTGTCGTGTGGGTGCTCGTGTGAGTCTGGGAGTTTGCCGAAAATTGGAGAAATGTCACACGACTCGTGTGGCATATCACACGACTCGTGTGACGGCAGACCAAAGCGTTTTCTTCCCTTTTTCGACCCTGAATGACCCTACAGTATAAAAGAGGCCTTATGAGCTCGTTTTTGGGACTTTTGACACCATTGGAGGCCTAGAGGAAGCACGAAACACACGAGGGATTCGAGGAAGTCAAGATTGAAGATCCGAGAACTAACGGCGACAATAGTTCTTCTTTCTTTTCTCTTTTTCTTCTTCATTGGACTCATGAATATATTTATTTTGAGCTTTGAGAATATGTTTAGTAGCTAAACCTTTTAGGGATTCTAGGATTTGCGAGTACTCGGATTATTTTATGAAGTGATTTTGTTTATTCATTCCGGTTTATCATTCGTTTATCAATTTCTTGTGCTTTTGTTTATTGTGTGAATATAAGGGCCCGTATTTATGCATATTTGTGATTGGCTTGAGACCGAGAGGAGATAGTTGATTGCTAGAATTGGGAAATTGATAACGTAGGAGACTAAACAGACCGAGAGGTTGATAGAATCTTGCGAGGGAACTAGAATCTTAGGAGCTTATGGGAGTTGATTGTTCATCTTGAGACCGAGAGGAGATAGATAACAATTAATATCTACGATTTAACTTGTTCGAGAGAAAGGTGTAAATTACTTTAGTGATTATCCCTACGAATGGTAGAATTAAATAAGGTTTGAATGAATAATTAATCTTTGTTAGAATAATCCCGAGGAAAGCATAGCCTAGAATCTATTTTCTCATTCTTGATTTATCTTAGAACAAGCCTTCATTAGTGTTAGAATTTATTTTGCAATCATTCATTAGTTTAGAATAAAATCACCATTCAAATTTGCATTAGACTAAATAATATTTAATCGTTTACATTTTGATACTTAGTTAATTTTGACAACAATCTCTGTGGAATACGACCTTGCTCGCCACTCACTACAGCTATACCGTACACTTGCGGATAGTGAAAATATTTTGCGAACACTTATGCCATTCAACAGTTAAGTCAGTTTGTCAATGATCCCTATTCCTCTCACTGGGATGCTGTTGTCCATATTCTCAGGTATCTAAAGGGGTTTACCTCCCTTGGCCTTCATTTTTCCTCTTCCCAGCAAGGCAAGTTAGTGGCCTACAGTGATGCAGACTGGGTTGCGTGCAAGGACACTAGGCGGTCAATCACTGGCTTTGCCATCTTCTTGGGAGGCTATCTCATCTCTTGGAAGAGCAAAAAGCAATCCACTGTCTCTCGTTCATCGGCCGAGGCCGAGTACAGAGCCCTTAGCTCCACTGTTGCTGAGTTATTGTGGATCTTTTACCTTCTTCATGAATTCCATGTGTCCGTGGATCATCCTCTTCCTTTGCTGTGTGATAATCGCGCTGCTCTTCACATCACTGCCAACCCTGTCTTCCACGAGCGCACCAAGCACTTGGAGATTGATTGCCATTTTGTTCGGGACAAGTTCAAGTCTGGTTTTATTCTTCCCATGCATGTCTCCTCTAAGCTTCAATTGGCAGATTTGTTCACCAAAGTGCTTGCTGGTTCCCACTTCCATTTTCTGGTGTCCAAGTTGGGCATGGTTCCTTTTCCTCCTAGCCCAACTTGAGGGGGGGCTGTTGGAATGGTGTGTGTGTGTGTGTGTGTGATGTTGCAGTTGTGTGTGTGTATGTGCATAATATGCAAAATGTGCTGAGGGTTATTTCTCTTTCGTTTTTTTCCTTTTTCTTTGCTAAATAAAAACGCAAAGCGAGTTTTTAAGTGACACCGGTTTTATCACAAAACGGTGTCGTTTTCGGTTGCATGTAGAACGTATGCATGGGACCTATATAAAGGACATCACACTGTACTTGCTTTCTCGATTGAATTGACTGAAATAAAAAAATACTCTGTGAAATTTTGTGTTGCTATGAAAATCCACATTCAACAGAATTGGGCAACAACATCGTCATTTTGGTTAATTTTGTGGCTTTCTACGGCGAGCACGACAATTTCAACGCCACCCTTGCTCCATCCATCTCCGTTAAGGTTTTTAAATTTTATTTATTTATTTATTCAACATATTTGTTTACAATTTTTTTTACAATTCTTTTCATTTTCCTAAAATTGATCGACGTAGAATTGCAAACGAGAAATTCTGATTGTCTGACACATGACACGAAATAAAAAGTTAAAAACACAATATGATTAATCCTTTTCGCTCCTTTTAGCCTTATCCTGCTCGGAGGATTTTAGTGATGGTTTCTATGTCAATGGTTATTTAATTATTTATATCATTTCGATGAATCATTGTGCTTTTTTTGTTTCTACTTTCTTCGACTTGAATTTAGGAGACGACGAGTAGATGAAATGGAGGAATTTCACTTGTAAGAGAAAATGTTCTAATCATGTTCTGCTCGTTAACTCATATTTGATATGATTAAAATTCGATTATAAAAATAAATGACACGATAATTACGATACGAAATGACACAATAAAAAAAAACAACACAAAATAAAAGTAGCAGTTTAATTTGGCTTATTATCATATTAATAATCCAGTAATATAAAGATAACATGAATACACGATAGTGGAACACGATATCACGATTTGCCACTCTTTATTTCCCAATAATTTCCTATTAAACTAAAGTTCTTGGCCCCTTTTACAATTTTGTTTTTCCTTCATTCAACCTTTTAATTCTTACAAAATCACTCCAACAAAAACTTTAACAAGCATCAATTTTTCTCAATTAGCCTTTCATACTGTCCTAAAAGCATCAATCAAAGCAAGTCATATATATAGGGAAACGACACCCCACTAATGTCATGAACGAGCCAAGAACCTAGGCCTGCCGGTGGAGAAACCAAACGATGTAAACCAAGCGGGTGCGCATCCGCCATGCTTGCCATATGATCGACCGCAAAGTTGGCTTTCCTAAATATGTGTTGGATATTGACGCTCCAAGCCCGGGGAATCAAATCGCGAAAAGCAAGTCATATATTAATCTTGTAAAACCCTGTCTTAGGTTTTATCACCTGGTGGAAAAGAACTTGACCACAAGGATAAAGTCACTCGCCACAAAAGATTGGGACTCTGATCGCCAAAAAGGAAAAAATCGATGCGAGTCCTATGATTCTCCCTCATATATTGATGGATTATATTAAGTACAATTTTTATTTATTATTATTATTATTATTACTTTTTTATATATATATATATATATATATTATTTNGGTTTGGATCTAGAGATTAGAAAGCTTGAAGAAGCTGTGAAACCATTCATCAGAATATGATTTCTATGATGCATAGGTAAAATTCAAGATTCATATGAATCAAATATCGAGTACCTTTGGTTATAATATTGTTTGAGAAGTATTGACAAACGATCTTTTTTCCGCAGGCAAATGGACATGACTCTCGTGAACTTGAAAACGAATGCTAGAGTCGCGCATTATAGTATTGGGTCGCTTGGTCTGTGTATTTCAGCCTCTGTTCTTCAGTTGGGGTATTTGAACCAATACTTTCGGAAGAAGAAACTCATCTAAGACCTCAAATATTGAAACTCGTGTTATTATCGATACTCGGAAGAAAGAAAGAAAAAAAAAAGGAAAAATTGATAACCTATGTCATATATGATGATATCAATATCCTATTTGTTACAAGGTTGTTGTGACATTGGAAACTTTGTAGCAACACTACTAAAAATCAAATATATTTGAGACTTCGATTTGTTCAAAAAGTATTACAGGTCGACCTGCCGAACCATTAAGACTGTCTCACACAAGAATTCGTGTTATACCAAAACTGGGATTGATATAATTTTTTGAAGTCACCATTCACATGTTATCGATGGAGTCTTTGCTATTAAAATAAGACCCGACAAGTTACAAGCTCCAAAAACATTTCATGAATACATACTTCAAAAAAATCTAATGCATAATGAGCACAAAGATGTATGCAAAGTTGCAAACAGGCACCAAGATCTAACCAGTCTAATACATGTCTCGTACAAATACAGCAAAATTCATTAACTGAAAGCTGCCGCTATCTTCTTTTGGACAAGCTCTACTGCAGCGCGTGGAGAAAATCTCGGAAGAATCTCCTACAACGTATAAACTTGCTGTTGTTAGTTTGTTTAAAACTTAATTAAAAAGGAAGAAAAAGAACTTAAGAATGAGTTTGGTAAAACTGAATAAGGAGTGAAATAAGACATTCTTTTCATTAGTCTGAAGAGTGGCATTCGTAATGGAAGTTAAAAAAATCTTAATCGATTCTCAATCTATCTTTTCTTGCTGCACAACAATCTATCTCCATTAAACCTTTTGAATCAGATGGCTCTATAGAAATATGTAGGCAATTGAAAGCAACTTCACTGAATGGTACGCGAGGGCCGAAAAAAAAAAACATTAAAGAAAAAAGAGAAAAACGTCGATACCTCTGTAAAAGAATTTCAACAATACTAAAACTTTTGACATGGTTATACTTCTATTAATTTTCATACTTCATATCTTGATTGCATAATTTACAAAAGAAGACTAATTTCTGATCCAATCATGAAAATTTCATCTACTCAACAATAGCCACAGCAAAATGTTTATACTAGCAGCAAGACCAACAATAATTCCACACAACTATATATCAACCTAATGCCAGAAGCTCTGCATGCATTGAATGAATGAAAAGCTCGACTTGGTGCACAAAACACTGCTCACCAATTGGCCTTACAAACAAACAAGTACTAACACATTCGCGCATTGCAACATTTCAAACACAATCATATAAACAAATCACAGACGAACCTCAGTACCATCTTCTCTAACTCTGGTTAACACGGGTATCTCGTATTGGTAAAGCCGCTCCCATTCGGGATTACTTGTAATGTCTCTAATCTGAAGGGCAAAAAAAAATCAGATTATGGTTCAATGACTTCATACAGATGAAAAGTTTAAATTGGAGAAAATAGAGTTAATTAAAACATCCAAACAATTAGAATTCAAGTTCATTAACTTCAAATTAAACATTTTTGCAAAACAAAATGTATATCAATATTACATTAAAAACTTGAAATTATGATATATATTGCATTAAAAACTTGAAATGCATAATTTTTTGTAGCCAAAAGAAACTTCAAACTGTTCAAAACAACACAAATGATAACAAAATCAATCCCAAGCTTCACATTTTATCATAAATCACCCAATAATATCCGCAGTAAAAAATTCAATAGAACTGATTAAATTAAAACGCACGAGAACAAGTTAAACCGATTGGACCTCCAACTGGACGTCGCCGACGTAATTCGGGCCGGAAGAAGAAAAAACCGTGTCGAGTTTCTCTTTCAGGCCATCGCACAAACAGCATCCGGGCTTTGAGTAAAGTACCAGCTTCTTCGGCTGAGAGGCAGACGAGAAGGAGGCTAACGGCCCGAATAACGGAAACCTATAACTCCGTCCGGCGGGTTCAACAGATGATCGGAAATGCTGAAATAGCAGCGGTGTTCTAGTCGCTGGGTAATTTCCAATCGCAACCCTGGCTGCCATTGTTGTACCACGAAAATCTGGTGATATAATTTCTATTTTATTTTGCTTTCGAAAATCGCGTTAATAGAATTGTATTTTTTAGCTATATTGAGGAAAAAGCGTCACAATAGTAACATTTCTGAGAAAAAGCGTCACCATAGCTTTATTTGGAGGGCTCGGGTCGGGAACACCAACAAACCGTATAGTAAATATTTAGGATTTTCTTCGTTTTTTTCTTTTCGCTCATGTTTGGATTATTGGAGCGGAATACATTGGCATTGAACTCTTGCAATTCCTAAATTAATTGTAAGATTTTATTTTTTCAATTATTATTGTTATTCGATGTGGTGTTTCTTGCATTGAATTAATGTGAATTCGAATTCAAACATGAGGTAATTCATCCACCTAAGATTATGGATTACAATTCTTGTCTCGAAATGTGTTGAATGTGTGATTGTTCAACTTGTGCACGTTGATTGAATAACAGAATTAACCTATTGATCACCGTCTAGTTCGTCTAAATAATTATTAGTGTTTAGGGTTTTCTGAGGGAAGGAAAACGACAGAGAAAACAATGAAAAGAAAAATAGAATAATCAATTGAAAAAGTTATGAATTAAGTGTTGTACAAGCCTTTTATACTAGGCATTATAAAATAAAGGAAAAAGTGCTATATTGCTAATAACAACTTATGCAACATCTATTATCTCAACAATACATATTCTAATACCCCCCGCAAGATCGGCATGGATGTTATTCATGTTGAGCTTGGATGACAAGTGGCTGAAGGTTTGAGTTGAAACTGCTTTTGTGAACAAATCTGCCACTTGATCTTTGCTTGGAACATGGTGAAGTTTGATTATCCCGGCTGCAATCTTCTCTCGTATGAGGTGGCAATCAAGTTGAATATGCTTTGTCCTTTCATGAAATACAGGATTGTTTGCAATTGCTATAGCTGAGATACTATCTGAGTACCCTATGAGCAGCAGCAAGATGTTGAGTGGTTGGTTGTGACATAAACTGGCTAAGTGCTTGAACACTATAGCTTAAATCAGGCCTGGATATAGTTAAATACAAGAGTCTACCAACTAATCTTCTATATGCAGTAGTGTAAAGTCCGCGCTAGAGTAGAGATAAAAGTTGGTTATGGCCTCACAGGAAAGCATATATCTCGAATAATTATCACGACAATAAGAACAATGCCATTGATATTATTATAATAATAATTATAATAACAATCAATGACAACAAGAACATATAGTTATATTATTGATAAATATAAAGATTTCAAAAAAGCAGAAACTCGAAAATACGAGCAAGAAATCTGGTTTGGTGGCCTTATCCCAATGGGATAATGGGTTAATAATCCAGTGATTTCATGCTAAGCACACCTAATTTGTCCAAATTTTTAATTCAATGGCACAATTGATCTAATGGAATTCACATAGGATTGCATTTGAAAAATATTATGAAAGCTGGGATTTTTAGTCTTGTGGGTTTTAAAATTGTTAAAGTGCGTCTTATTTTAGGATTTTATAGTTAATTGATTCTTTTACTAACTTATTATCATCCATATTTTGTCTATCATGTAAATATAGCACGATTATTTATTTCTAGGGATGTACATGGTATTTTTTTATGTGTGAAAATAACCACATAGCTAAGTTACCAAAACATTATAACAAACTGCCAGTATAATCGATCGGTCAAATTATCTAACATAATCCAATAAAAAGTCGAATAACAACCAAAGATTCGATCTTTTTCTCTAATCTTGCATCTTTCATCATTTGCTCTTAGATTCTTAGTTTATTTCGTGCAATCCAATCCCATCAAGCGAGTATCATGTTTATGACCTTTTTTTTTCAGTTATGTGAATAACGACTAGATAGTGAATAAACCGTCCTTTGAGAATGGCCCGAGTCCGGGTAGTTCAGTTACCATCTATCCCCAAATTACTACAAACATCTGGGCACACTTATACCACTTGTCCTAAAGTGGAGTGCCACGTCTACCATGCTCGAGACCATATTGGTCCAAACTTTTCAGCCAAATCACAACGTTCGGGAGGTTCATCTTCTCGATTTCGAGGGTCTCGTGGATCTTCTTCAACCGCCACTTCTTCTGTTACAGCGGTGGTATTGAGCCTCGATACTCGTCTTACACTCTTCAAGACATAGAAGTCATTCTCAAGCAAGTTATTCATTCTAATTCTGCAATGTCTGCTACCGTAGTTAAACCTCATTACTATTTTGATTCTGGTTGTTGCAATCAAATGACCTTTAGTCCACAGTTTTTGTTTTCCTCGTCTTCCGTAACTTATTTACCTCCTATACATATTGCCAATGGTACTCATATGAATATTACTCACACTGGTCTGGTTATTTCTTCCCATTCTTTACATCTTCCTGACACATACTGCATTTCTGACTTGGCATTAAATCTTATTTCTGTTGGTCAATTGATTGCACAAGGTCTTAATGTTACATTTTCATCTTTAGTTGGCAATACAATCACATGGCATTATTGATGTTCATGAACATGGATTTACCATATTGCAAAAACATGTCGGGCCTATGTTCCTTTTCTTGTTGCAAATGATTCTTTTAAGTGAGTTCATATTTCACTAATATATACTGAACCTTTACAAAAAGATCTGATTCACAAACATGTTGTTAATTTTGATGGAATGCTGAAAAATATTGCGATCGAAATTTGGAATATGCAATAATATGAGACAATAAAGTCAATTTGCAAATGTATTATTGTTTTGGTACTATTCTCTTCAAAAAAAGGAATATTGATCACTAGTCCATAGCTTTGCTAAAATTAGAAACCAATAATCGTGTCAATAATAAGATAAAATTAGCAGAATACGTAAATTAGAGCATCATTTTGAGCAAAGGTATTCGGTATCAGAGAAGAAATCCGGTCAACATGTTGATCACTAGTCCATCAACTAACTTTT